TTATTGAACTACCATTTGGAGGTGGTGAAGCCAGCCTTATTTTCACCCTTTTGCTGCCGTAGCTCCTTTAACCATTTGTTGTAGCTGGGATTACATGCCAATGCCACTGGAGTGGTTGAACTATACCATGTAGGTTACCTTATATAATGATCTGGTGTTAAAGCAGGCCTTAAGAATCAAATGCCGGTTGGTAGGTCTTTGTTCATTTTGAGTTTGGAACATGGCTTGTGACCCAAGATTTAATCATGGACAGGGATGTGTGAAAGTTAGCTATCCATGTGCCAGAACGGTTTCAATATCTTATGGGTTTCAACTCTAGCCTATCCCAACTTGTTTGGGACTGAAAGGATTTGTTGTTGTTGTTGTTGTTGTTTACTGGTTCTACTAGGAATCAGAGGGACTCCAAATCCTGGCTGTCTTGCTCACCTCTCATGCATTTAACAATGATCCTTTGGATGTAATCTTGGGCTGCATGATTGCTACAGCTTTGTTGCTCCGGTCAAATTTTAATTTCTGATTTTTGTTTCTCTTTTGCAGTGATGGTTGGGACCGCACAACCCAGTTGATTGCACTTGCTTGTTTGTTGCTTGACCCCTATTATAGAACGTTCGATGGGTTCCAGGTACAGACTCGCAGAGACCACAAAGTTTGCAATGTGCTCCTGTGGCAAGATAATTTTGTTTCCACTTCTCCTCCATTCCTGTCATGAAACTCTTCAATGGAATATTTATAATTATATTTGATGTTTGATTGTTTTTGTTGTTAAAATGGAAATGTAATGTAATGACATGCCATTTCCTCGGACTAGTTGTTGCACATGCCTCTTCACATGATATATGGCCTTCTGAACTTTTAAGACTAAAAAACTGCAGTTCATATTCACATTAAGTTCCTGTGCCCTGCAATTAATCAACATTACGTTGTCTAATGTATAAATAGTTCCTGATTGCTGATTTGTTTCAATCGTGTCACTTCAATAGTATGAAAGACTTGGTTTTGGAACTTGGATATATAACACTCTTTTACCAAACTGTTTTTAGGCCCTTGTGGAAAAGGATTGGCTAGCTTTTGGTCACCCGTTTGCAGAGCGATTGGGAATTCCAACAGTGTCCGAGAATGGGGGATCACAGTATGAGCTACTAAGGCAACCATCTGTTGGGAATTTAACCAGTTCGCCGAGCAGAGGTTCTTTAGGAACACCAGGGTCATCCTCTAATACATCAGTTCAATCCCAGACATCAAACAACAGTTCACCCATACTGTTACAGGTAGCCTACAAGTGCTACTTTTCTTTTCCTTTTGTCTGGCAGATTGTATCAATAAATAATAGGAGTTGCCTTGGTCTCAGCAACTACCAACTGGTGGCTTTGATGAATAAATGATAGGCTGTTTCTTTTATATGTTAATATTCAAATTACTTGTTCTATTTAATAGATTATGGACTTTACCTATTTGGGGGGCTAAAGGCTGCTCACCGTTTAGTTAGGCTGTGCAGCAGGCCCTTCACAAATCATGTCTCTCAGAAGCGTTAAATTTCTAGTGGAGTGACATCAGTTAACAGCATGGTGTGCTTTAATGATTATCAATGTGTTCGAGCATTTGAGAACAAAACTGCATGGCTCCTTTTTAATATTATAGGGGCGACCTATCATACAGTTTGGATGTTTCTGCTGTCTTGTTCATGCATTTGTATTTGCTTTGGAGGTATTTGATGTACATTTCGTTTAATTACTTGAGCTTGTTCTCTTCTAATACCGCATCTTTTGTTTCAGTGGCTTGATTGTATTGCTCAGTTGTTACGTCTATACCCAGCTGCATTTCAGTTTTCATCTGTAAGTCTTCTTTTTCTTCTGCAGCTGTATGGTCATGCTAACACTAGGTCTCTTCATGGGTATGCATAACCTGGACTATTCTTGTTGCAGAAATTCCTAGTTGACTTTATGGATTGTGTGCTATCATGTCGCTTTGGGAACTTCCTATGCAATAGGTATTTAATCTAGAGACCGTCTTGGCAATTTTTTGTTCGTATGTCGTTTGTGTGTGTGTGCTCATGCGCACGTGGCGGTGGGGGGAGGGAGGGGGGAGACAAAGGCATGTTCATCACACCCTTTCCATTTTATGTGTGAATCATCAATAAAAGTGAAGCATATGAAAAACGCGAAATTTGAAATGCAGATGTTGTGTCGATATATTTATTAGTAGGACATCATGTAAGAATTGAACTTCTTTTAAGTTCAGATCAATTTTCAGTTAAAATTTGTATGTATGTATCGAATAAAAGGAACCTCTGTAAGGAGACATGCCCTCATTCTTTTAAGGTTTTCCATATGCTTTTTGATGTTTAAGAAGTATCCCCTCATGGAAAAAAAAAACTAGCAGGATTATTTATGAAGGATTGCAGTTGAATTAAGTCTATAGGGTGCACTGAGCAATTCTGAAGTTTATCTTAGGTATCTATTAGTACACATCTGGTGCTCAAATCAATTCAAAGTGTCAGCGGCTGCATGTCTATTATCTAGTAATTAGTTGACCCAGTAATCATGCCACATACGTGCCAAAAATGTGCTTGCCCAGACCATGATAGTCTGTGGTTAAGAAGATAATGTTTGATTCTTTCTGCACTGTTCGGTTTATCTTAATTGTGAAGTATTCTGCATGGCTAATTTTTATTCCAAATGCAAGCGAGCGGGAAAGAGAGCAATCTGGGGTTACAAGCTCTTGCCATTGCATGTGGACGTACTTGGCTGATCTCCGGGCTTCTGGTGGTAGCTTCCATGAGCACATTAATCCATTTTATGACCGAGAGAGGTATTGGCTCCCCCTTGTACCCCCTGCTGCAGCACTTGCTCCAACTCTATGGCCTCAGTTTTATTTGAGATGGACATGTCCCCCTGAATCACAAGGTGGCGGTCTTGAATCCCATGGGCATTCCATGCGTAAAAAATACGAGGCCTCAGTCAAGGTACTTTTCTATAGCCTTTTATTATTTATTATGCAGGCTCATCTCTATTTTTTTAGTACTTATAATACATAAGTTAGCAGACAAAAATTCATGGCTGAAGATAGGTTTCATGTATTCCTTTGTTTTCTCATGCAATGGGCAGTCAAAGGACATGGCTGAATCAAGATCAAGGGATATTAAAATGAAGATGGAGTCTATGCTGACAGACTTGCAGAGGGAGAGGCGTGCAAGTAGTTCAGCCTTAGCCATGGCTCAAAGGGCTCGAAGGGAGAACGTCGCCATTAAAAGGGCAATCCAAACTATAGGGTGCACTGTTAATTTCTCGACGAACGAAAACCAAGTGGACAAGTCCGAGGAGATGTCATATTCATTTCGAAGAGAAGCTGACACTGTATCCCAGCAAGATGATAATGCTGACATGTCTGTATCCATCTCTGCGATTGAGGACAGTTTGGTATCAGAGACACCAAGCAACCAAGTTTGCGAATCGCTCTGCCCCTTCCGCAGCAGAGAGGGGTGCAGATGGCCGCATGCTGCTTGCGCACAGCTAGGAAGCCAGTTTGTTGGTTTAAAGGCAAATTTTGATGCTTTTGACCGGCTATCTGTAAAAGATTGCTATTTTCCTAAAGAATAGGCGAGACCATGAGCTCAAGGCAGTTCTAGGTGCACTTTGACAGCTGCCGGTAGATTTTTTCCCCCGCGGTGGCGCCTCTCAGTTTGCATTGACAGCAGAAGATATGCGCTGGGAGCAAATGAAGATTTAATTATTTTGAGTTGAAGCTCACGTCTGACTCACAAGTTCCTCACAAGATATGCGCTGGGCAGTTGGTATTCTAGATTAGGGGTTAGCGATTCGTTAAGACCCACTGGGGACTGAAAAGGCAGTCCTTTGTGTTGTATATAGTTTAAAGCAAAGTAATGCCAGATGTGAGAGGTGGTTCCTTTTAACCTGTTGTTTTGGTTAAAAAACATCATCTGGTTGCTTGGGAATAAGAACTAATGTACGTCCTGCTCTGGTGAATAAAATGCCATCTGTCAAAAACATGTACATGTGGGGTTATCACATTCTTTTTGTTGTCACTGTAGCTTTGTGTTGTGAAAATAAAATCATGCTTTGTTTCCAGCGCCAAGGTTTAAGCAATGTCTTGAATTTGATCAGCTAGAAGAACTAATATGTGCAACGAATTCTGCTCACATCCACTTAAAATCAACAACAGTGCTATGCCTTTTCTTCTGTATGAATACCGAATCAAACCATAAACAAGGCTTTATGAACAGCTGAAACACCAAATTGACACAGAATATTATTAGAGCCTGCTGTTTGCATTTGCAGCAAAAACAATCTGAAGAGCGATCACACCATTTGCACTAAAGGAAGAAAAATCTTCACTTTTTTTTTTGCAGGAAATCTTCCATTTTCCAATCTTAGTTCATAAACTGATTAATCAATTCCTGAGGAGGTAGAATCCGAACAATCTCTGGATGAGCTAGCAAAGTAACAATAACTGAAGACAAGCCCACCCTCAGCCCCTGAAGTGCCAATGCCAATCAATTAAAAGAAAAGCGCTACTGTGAATTGTATTGAACCATCATGTTGCTCGCTACTTCCTCCGTTTCTAAGTATAAGTCGATTCCAACAAGTGACTACATACGGAGCAAAATGAGCGAATCTAGAAGTACACTCTAAAGTATGTCTACATACATCCGCATGTTATAGTCCATTTAAAATGTCTAAAAAGACTTATACTCACTCCGGCCCATAATATAGGACGGTTTTTTACACTAATATAGTGTCACAAAACGTCTTACATTATTGGACGGAGGGAGTATTTAGGGGAGGCAGTATTTAGGAACGGAGGGAGTACAAGATATGCAGACATGCACAAACATCATGTTTCATGATTGAATCAAGCGTTTATTATCGCTTAATATCTCAAACATGCACAAACTTGATGACCAAGGTAGTTTATCAAACTCATGCTTTTAGAACAAGTCATGGAGGTGGGAGGGTGCAATGTTTAGGTAATTATTGCCTTGCTCATAGCCGAACATGGAAGCGCTTGCAACAAACAAAAGCATAAGAAAAAAATTGAAAAGGGATGCTAGTGGTGAGCTGCAACAGCAGGAGCTCCTTCGGCTTCCTCCTTGGCCTTGCGAGCAGCAGCTCTTATCTGACGTTGCTCCTCCTTGTAGATCCTGTTCCTGCGTTGGAACTGCAGTAGAAGAAATAACAAATGTTAAGTTTACGATTTCACTATCAGCTTACCATGATTCATAAAATCACCCGGCACAATGAAATGGAAGTGCAGAATAATATGAGTTCAGACTGTCATCTTATCTAGCACCCGAAAATACTTCAATAACAATGAATGGAACGAAGCTGGTTCTAAGGTATTCCTTTTGCCAGGAAAATGGTTCTAAGGAATCGGTGTATTATCCCGATAATAAAACATAAAATTCTTATATGATCCTATCACACATGGCAGGATGTAACAGATACTCCCTTTGTAAAGAAATATAAGACCTATTAGTGATCTAAACGATCTTATATTCTTTACAAATGGAGTACTTGAGTATAATTACCTTTTTTTTTTACTAGTCACATCCTAGAATCAGCAATTGTCCTAATAAGTTTATCCCATCACCAGAAGCAGGAAGCTATCCGGAGAGCAAAATCTAGATAACAAATGTAAGTAGTTGGCTATCTGAGCCACAATTTCAGCGACTATCCTAAGAGATGATTGCACAAAAGACTCCGATACACGATCCTTTACAATACGCTTATCAAGGTTGACTGCAACACGCAATGAAATGGAGCATGTAAGAAGTCCGACCTAATTTGTCAAGCCTACAATGGGTTAAAGGATCCCTGCGCAATCCTACTTTGCCCGAACACGGCTACATCGAATCGATTCAGAAGGTCGATGGTTCATAACTAGGCTACATTGACGACGGAATATAACAAATGAACACATGACAATATCTACATGAACCCTCCAAGTTCGAGAACACATCGGGAACAATCGTTTTCTCTCTGTATATCGATACTGCCACGAAAGACCGGAAATGCCTGAAATTCCGGAGCGGCTCGCCTAGGTACGAATTACACGAGGCCCCGGCGACAGATCTAGGTAGCCGCCGGCTAGCGATGCGGCGGCAGATCAGACGAGGAAGGATAGATCTCTATCCATCTAGGCGTGGGGAGGAAGGGGGGAAGAAGGATGGGTACCTCCTTGGAGTGGTGGAGGCACTCGAGGTAGTCCTCGCGGAGGAGGCCGCAGTCGGAGGGCTGGCGGCAGCGGCTCATGCACGAGCTGAAGTCCAGCCAGAAGTCGTAGCACCGCCCCTTGTTCCCGTTGATGCCCCACCCGGACGCCATCGCCTCTTCTTCTCCGCCGTCGACCTTGGCAGCCTCTTCTTCTTCTCTCTCTCCGGTGGTCACTCAGGATGTCCCTACACTGCTCTCTCTCTCTCCACCTTCCTTCCCCTCACCAGACAATGTTGGCCCACGTACCATTCCCCTCATGGAGGAGTCACCATGTCTCTACCGGGCCTCGCGTTCGGCTCTGGGCCTCCAGTACCCGGGTATCCCCCCAATTCCTTCTTTCTCTACAGTCACCCGGCATCCCGTCAAGATTTCTCAAAAAAAAAAAGGGGCATCCCCTCAACCCCTAATAACAAAACCCAGCATCCGCTCAAAAAAAAAAGCAACCCCTGAAAAAAAACGTCACCCAGCAATGGATTTTCTACCGTCATCATGTTGGGTGTCTTCAGAGATTGTTAAAAAAAAAGGTGTCTTGAGTTGTGGTCCGGGCTTTCGAGACTTGAAGATCTTTAATTTGGCTTTGCTTTCCAGGTAATCCTTAAGTTGCTACACGGACCAACTTTCCTTGGTGCAAAAATTCTCAAGTCGATATACTATCCAGCATGCTCTGTTTTGGAAGCTGAACTAGGGCCTCATCCATCACAGATTTGGCGCACTATTCTTGATGGACATGATATTATGGCTCAGAGAATTATTAGGAAGATTGGCACAGGAGAGAGCAAATATATTTGGCTCATAATTGGATCCGCGGAGCAGCTACAAAAGGCCGGTTACTGCACTCGTTCAAAACCCACCAGAGTTTGTGGCCAAGCTCACACTCTCTCCGTTTCTAAATATAAGTCTTTGTAGAGAATCCATTATAAACTATATACGAAGCAAAATGAGTGAATCTACACTCTAAAATATATCTACATACATTCGTATGTGATCCATAGTGAAATCTCTACAAAGACTTATATTTAAGAACGGAGGGAGTAGATCCCACCTCTTCTTTTTTGGCGTGAGGAGCCGGTGTGCAGGGTGTTCATTCCCTTTGATGCTAATGAGATATTGAAGACCCCCGTGTGCACCGAAAGAGTTGATGACTTTTAGGGAGTGGGGTGAAGAGAGCCGGGTTTTTTCTCTCCATGCGGTCCACTTACATAATGGTTGTTTAAACAAAAATTAGCAGGGAGGATTGGTTGGAGCATAATGGTGGATCCTCTGGCACTGAGGCGCAAGGTAAAAATTGGACCTTATTTCAGAAAATCAGTGCCTCACCAAAGTTAAAAGTGTTCGTGTGGCGGTTAGCACAACAATCCGTCCCTACGTGCGAGCTTCTCCACCACCCAAATATGGCCAATACCCCCGTGTGCATCCAGTGTGGACAAGACAACACTCGGCGTCATGCTTTGTGTTAGAATAAATTCGAGACATACCGTCGATCATCCGAGGACCAAGCAATCACATGAGCACGACACCGAGATTTGTTAACGAGGTTCACCGATATAACTACATCCCCGGGGCCTGACTATGGGCGCTCCTCCCCATGACACTGTCACAATACCGCACACCGGCCACCCGGGCACCGGCACACGCCGCCGGCTCCCCCCTTGCGCGCGTGTGCTATTATGTTGGCATAGGTTACATCGTGTGTCTAGCCCCGCTATATACGAGAGGCCTAGGATACAAGTGTCCAACTAGGACACAACACCGTATCCTATCTAAACACAATACTACTCAGAGTCCAACTGTAACCTACCTTATACACAATATTCGACACAACTCCAACAAACTCCACCTTGGTGAATATTCTCCACCACCTTGAATTTGTCCATGCGTCAAACTTTCATGTACATTGGACTTTTTATCCCATAAGTACCGCTCCTACTCCAAAGACTCCATATGACCCCACCTGCAACTTGTAGTCATCCCGAGTCAAATTTGCAGTTGTCTCACCACATGTATGACGACCAGAGCCTTGGCCCGTCATGTCCCGCGCGTACCGCACGCCTCGCCGCTTTTACCGCGTCGAGCCTCCTTTGTCCCAGTCGAGTCTCAAGGGTCGCGAAACCACACCACTCAACCCTTACTACAGAATACCACCGATCATCACCGACCGATGACGAGTTTCACGCTTCCATCAGACCACTGGGCTCCAGTCCGAATTACGTGTCACTCGCTTTTTTCCTCGCTGAATAGGCTTCGATTCTCTGGATCCTTACACCGTAGCCCCTCAATCCAGCTCCACCTTCAACATGACTCCATGGTAGATGATCAGTCCACCCTCGCGCCCCATCGACTTCAAGCTCTCATGTGCACCGTCTTGAATCAACCCCGCGTCATAGTCTTGTCTAAGCCACACAAGTCCTCAAACCTGCGCCACGTGTTTCCACGCCCAGAAGTCGGTCACCATCAGCATCACGCTCCTATGCCGTCGTCGCCGATCTCACCACCATCTTCTGTATCAACCGACTTGCGTCGATCCGTTAGACTGTCCAAATCTGACCGAGCCGAACTCGTTCGACTGTACGACACGCTCAAGGCTCCCAAATCGTCAACCCTGACTGCCATCCATACACAAATTGTGTACCAAACAAAAGAAGACCAAAATAAAATCCCTTGTAGCCTTTCCGTGTGCACGTACCAAAGAGATCAATAACAAGCTAGCTAGTCAAACTACAATCCGTCACATATAGCTTCTGAACTTGTATTTCTTTCCTCTTTTTAGATAGCATCACGTCTGATCCTTGGTCCTTGCGCCAATAATTTTTGTCCAAACAAATCTCGTGTACGTTGCCCCGATTGCTTCTCCGATGGTGGTTTCACCCGTCCCTGCTTGCGCCGCCACAACAGCCCAAACGCCCGCACGCTGCTCGTGCCATGGGCCGCTGTCTCCTGCGATCCACAGCCCTTTAGCCAGCCCCACGCCCGGGCCTTAGACCGCTGCTGCTGACTGCGCTCGTGCGAAGCTGCACGTGCATGGTTCAATGATACGTTACTGGTTTTAATTCCCAAGGTAACAAATCCCGTCTTACTTTCACAGTTTCGCCTCATAAGTTTATGCAATGTCTTCTACAAGATTGCCTCTAAGGTGTTAGCGAATCGTCTGAAGGCCGTGTTGCCTGATATTATATCCGAAGAGCAGTCTGAATTTGTGCCTGCTAGACATGATGAAGGCTTATGACAGAGTGGAGTGGCCCTATCTCAATACTATTATGGAGAAACTTGGTTTCGCGCCACAATGGGTTAAAGTTATCATGACTATGATTAGTTCAGTATCTTTTTCAGTAATGTTCAATGGTGTCAAATCAGAGGTGTTCAAGCCTACACGTGGTATTCGACAGGGAGACCCGATCTCATCGTATCTTTTTTTGTTGGCAGCAGAGGGCCTTTCGTGCCTCCTAAAGTCTCAGAACCAGTCATCCCAGCTCAGCGGCATTAAGGTGGCACCATCGGCTCCGCCGGTGAACCATCTTTTATTCGCGGATGATAGCCTACTGTTTTTCAGGGCAAGTGTTGACGGAGCAGAATCGGTTTCAAACCTATTGGATACATACTGCAATGCATCGGGACAGAGAGTTAACAGGGATAAGTCATCCATCCTTTTTAGTAGGGGATGCCCAGAAATAGTACGGACTGCTGTGAAGGGTTTTTTGTAAGTTCCAAATGAATCACTCAATGACAAATATCTGGGAATGCCATCTGATGTGGGGCACTCCAAGAAAGGGACGTTCAAATACCTGAGTGACCGAGTCTGGAATAAGGTAAAAGGATGGATGAGCAAGTGCTTGTCGGCAGGAGGAAAGGAGGTGCTAATAAAATCGGTAGCTCAAGCTATCCCGGTTTTTTCCATGTCGTGTTTTAAGTTGCCAAGAGGTCTTTGTGATCACATAAAGACTATCATCAGAAAGTTCTGGTGGGGATGTAAACAAGGAGAGCGCAAATCAGCATGGGTTTCATGGGACGTGATGACGAGGCCAAAATATTTGGGGGGTAGGATTCAGAGATATGGAATTGTTCAATCTCGCGCTGCTGGCCAGACAAGCCTGGAGGATACTGCATGAACCGACCACTTTAAGTGCAAGATTATTGAAGGCATCTTATTTCCCTAACTCATCTATTCTTGAGGCCGAGCTGGGTTCACGTCCATCTCAAATATGGCGTGCAATTCTAGAGGGGCGAGATGTGTTGCAACATGGAATAATCAGAAGGATTGGCAATGGCTTATCTACACGCATCTGGGAGGACAACTGGATTCCCAAAGAAACAACTCCAAAACCAATTGCATCATTAGTGGCGATACCTCCCAGGAGGGTATCCGATCTGCTGTCTCCGGCCACCGCCTCATGGAATGAAACCTTAGTGCGTACGATTTTCTTACCCTTCGATGCTGAAGCGATCCTAAAGATCCCAGTGTGCACACGAAATACGGAGGACTTTTGGGCTTGGAACCCGGACAGGAAGGGCAGGTTTACAGTCAGTTCGGCATACAAGCTCCTAGTATCAACAAAACTTCAAAGAGAAGCTTGGCTAGAAGGACGGGGTGATTCATCATCAACTGCTAGAGAAGAGGAAGCTTGGGGCCGTCTATGGCAGCTGAAAGTCCCATCAAAGATCAGAGTTTTTCTGTGGCGTCTCGCTCATCACTCCATACCAACTACGGATGTCCTACATAGACGGAATATGGCAACGCAAAGTGCGTGTCCGCTGTGTGGATGCCAAGACTCGTGGAGACATGCTCTATTGTCATGCACTATGTCGAGGTGCATCTGGGCCTTGTCGGATGAAACCCTTGTGTCGTGGATGACAGGGAACGAGGAACCTCATGCGAAGAACTGGTTGTTTGAACTTCATGAGACATTAGACCACGTGAGCTTCACGAGAATGGTCGTTACTTTGTGGGTTGTTTGGTACGCGAGGTGGAAGGCAATTTATGAATATTTGTTCCAAAACCCACACCAGACAGTATCTTTTGTAGACTCTTATCTTCAGGAGCTACAACAAATCCCAGCTGCTAAACAAAAAGTGCAAGTACTTGGAGTTTCAGGGCAGCAACGCCGTTGGAACCCATC